TGGCCTTTCCCTCCACTTTCAAGGCTCATAGTGTAGAATCTCCAAATCTTTCTCTCTGATCTGCTTTTCATTGCATCCCCTCCTCTGAGTCTGACTCTCCCATCCCCCCCTTTTAAGGACCATTGTGATCACATCAGGCCCAACCAGGTAATTAGGGAGAATCTCCCCATCGTAAAGTCTTTAACTTAATCACAACTACAAAGTCCTCTTTGCCATTTAAGGTAACATATTAACAGGTTCCAGGGATGAGGATGTAGACATCACTGGGGGCTATTATTCTGCCTCCAACAAGGAGGCTTGGGAGGTAGTGAGTGCTCAGTAGACATGAAAGAGGGTAAAAGTGCTCACTGCCTGGAGAGGGTGATGCAGCCCCACAGCTATGGATGGTTTAGTCAGTAAGGGTTTCCAGGGTTGCTTGGGAAAGCTGGCCCTGTGTTAGGCAAAATGTGACATCAGGATAAAGTACATTACAACAATTTTCTGGAACACAGCTCTTTACAGTTTGTAAAGGGCTTTTTATGATCTCATAGATGAGGAAACTGAGACTCACCAAGTGGTTGACGCTTCACCCAAGGTCACTCAGGTATAAATGGCAGTCAGGATTCGAATCCAGGACTGTCTGACTCCTAGTCTAGGGGGGGTCTTCCCACCACACACTAGTGCCTCTGTGTCCACTACAACTGCTAAGTGCACGATGGTTTAGAAGCCAGAAAGCTGGGAGTGGGCCCCATGGGAAGTGTACAGGGCACTGGGCTTGGGGTGCAGAAGCCAGGGCTTCCATCCTGCACTGTCACTCAAGCTGCGTGAGCTTGGGCAAGTCACCGTCGCCCATAAAAGGGCTGGTAACGGGTGTTGACCCCCAACCAAAGGCCTAAATGGAGGGGACCATCGGGAGGGCCAGAGTGTCCCAGGGGACGGGCCAGCAGATTGGGGCAGCAGCTGTTGATTATGGTTCAGGTATTTATTTCACAACCAGATCAGCTATACTGGTGCAAACCAGTCGAAGATCAACCCACCTGGCCCTCCTTTCAGCATCTGGTTCTGGGTGCTGAAAGGAAAGCCAACCCTATTCGACTTAGAGGCAATTTAATTCAGCATCTAGGATAAGAGGAGGAGGAAAGAAAAACACATTTTTGGTTGGTCAGCTCCCCTGCTCTCAGTAGTGAGCCCACAGGCCCAGGATGGTAGGCGGGGGAGGATGTGGTGGCCTCTTAAAGTGGGTGAGGAGACTCATCTAGAGACGTCTGGAAAGCACTCTTAAGGAACTCAGAACTGCAAGCACCAGAGGCCCCAGGCCCAGTGCCCTTGCAGGGCCTGATGGAGGAGCTGCTACAGATGCCTCTGCAGCTGCAGGCCTCAGATCCTGAGCCTTGCCCTCTGGGCTACCCTGGGTTTGTATTACTTAATCCTCCCTCATTCCCTTCCCTGTTGGGTGCCAGAAGTTGCAGCCTGCCTTGTGTCTACACAGGGAGACCAGGGTTCCCAATTAACAGAAGTGGGAAGTTATCCTCCGAGCTGCTCTGCCAACTCATTTTGTGGGGCATGACCTTGAGTACTCAGCAAGACTAATGGGGAAGGGCGGTGTTTTCTTCCCAGACCCACATTTCCCTGGAAGGCCTCTGCACTGATACTGTCTCTAGGCCCTGCTTCCAAACCTGGGTGCGTTTCCACAGCCCTCCTTGGACTCACTCCCGCCTGCATGCATTATCCCTGTCTGAAAGTGGCTGCCCCTCCAGCCTGGGTGATCAGAGACCAGACCGGCCAGGGAGCCAGATTTGGCTCTGGAATGCTAATCCTCACTCCACCACCTGACCTCTACAGTCCCAAGGAAGAGTTTTGTAGCCCCAGCCTGTCTCCCCCTCCAGGCTATTTGAGGGCACTGCAGCATAAATCCCTCCTGAGGTTAGGGTCATTCTCAGTTAAGCTGTCCACCCCTTCGGCCTTAGAGGGGACTTGAAACTCCGCTTTCCTTATAATTACCCACCTTGGCTATGTCTACCTCTGACTTAAATGGTAGCCTTTTTGCAGGACCAACTCTTTTGCCATCTGATTCCCTCATTGTGGTGCCTCATTGTTTCCACACCAGCCTCCTCTCAGCTCTCTAAAGACTGGGACTTACCTTCTCCGGGCAAAGGCCTCAGCCAGCTCATTATGGTCATTAACACCGTACACTCAATCCCTGGGTTTTTGTTCCTTGCTGAGGGGGATAGGAGTCCTCTCTGGAGGCCACCAGAAGGCAGGGATGGCAGTCAGTTCTGGGACCGGGAGGTGTATAATTGGGGCTTGAAAGCAGGGCACAGCTACTTTAACCCACGCTGCTAACTGGCTGATAGACTTCTGGGTGGTGGAAAAGGGACTGGGAGCTGCTATTTTTCTTCCATGTACTGTCATCTCTCTCACTCACTGCCATCCCACTTTGGGCCCTCAACCCTTCAGCTGCAGAGCATCGTTGAGTAGACATCTTCCCTACTTAGGTATGGCCTGCAGCATGGGCCTCATCCCTACCCCCAAGCCCGCCAGGCTCGTCAGTGCATGTAACAAGCGCCCTCTTCCCTCCCTCTTGGGTTATCTACATGGAGCAACCTTCTGGGGCCCTGCCTCTGCCAACTTGTCTAGAAGCAACCTTGTCCTCTTCTCGAGTCTCACAGTACTTTATCTGCCCTTTTCTGATTCTCACATCCCTGACCCCTTTGTAAGCCCTGCAAGGCAGGAGGCTTATAGAGTGAAAAGAGCTCTAGCGTAGCCAGTGTCCAGTGTGGTGGACGGCCCCACCTCCCCAGCGTAATCTGGAAGAATCTCAAACATTTTTTATTGAGAAAGGGAGAAACATCCACGTGAATTGGCTGCCGCCAGCACGCTCTTTACAGGGGATTAAGCCCTCAACCCAGGCACTTGCCCTGACCAGCAATCTAACAGGTAACTTTTTGGTACACAGGATGACGCCCAACTCACTGGGCCACCTGGGCCAGGAAAAATCTCAAATATTTTAGCTTCTTGGCCCTTCCTCTCAGACTATTTCAGACTTTTTCAGGGGGTGGGGCCAGGAACCTCAATTTTATGCAAACTCTGGAAGGTCTTTATGTGGCCACCACTAAGTATATGGGCACTGACCACTGTAAACCAAGACAACTCCTGCTTGTCAGGGTTGCTTCAAGGATCCCATGAGGTAGCAAACACCCAAGACAGAGCTAGCACAGTGCTTTACATATAGAACCATTGGGAGGAATTAGTCCAAAAGCACAGTGATGTTCAGGGACACACTCTTTGTAGTAGTGAAAATCTAAACCACCTAATTATCTAACAGTAGAATACATTTCACAGTATATCACCCTCAGGTTTATCCAGCTATTAAAGGTGATATAAGAAAATACATTCAGCCCGGCTGGTGTGGCTCAGTGGTTGAGCATCAACCCATGCACCAAGAGGTTGCCGGTTCAATTCCTGGTCAGGGCACACGCCCAGGTTGTGGGCCCGATCCCTAGTGAGGGACATGCAGGAGGCGGCCAATTGATGTTTCTATCTCTCTCTTCCCCTCTCTCTAAAATCAATAAAGAAAAAAAAATACATTCACACTTATAGTATGAATCACATGTGGTAGCTAATCTCCAAAGTTGGCTCTCAAAGATCCAGGCCTCCTGGTACTCAGGCCTTGTGACTTGCTTCCATTATGATGTGGCAGAAGTGATACTATGCCAGTTCTGAGCTTAAACATAATGCCATGCAGCTATTACCCTTGCACTTTTGGGAACCTTGAGCTATCAAGAAATCTGCCCACCCTGCAGTAGAGGCCCTATGAAGCGTGAGATCTGAAACTTTATGAAGAAGCCCACGTGTCCCAGCACCCCCCAAATACCAGCTATATGCCTGAGCCATCATCTTGAATGTGCCAGGCCAGCCAGGCCCTTGAAACTGGAGGAGCAGCACCTTCCAGTGGAACCTGGTCAACCTGCAGAATCATGAGACATAATAAAATGGCTTAAAAGCAACCAAGTTAGGTGTATGTGTGTGTTACACAGTAACAGATAACCAGAACACACTGAAAAATGGTATGTGGAGCATTATCTCTACTTATGAAATATGCAAAACTAAGAGGACAAATACTATTTATTACCAGTGTTTATTTTCTGCTTTATTTTTTCCCTATGTTTTAAACAATAAATATGTATTACTTTTGAAAGAAAACAATGTCATATTTGACTATAAAATTCATTTGTGTTAGTTTCGCTGGGCACAGTGGCTCCACCCCCCTGCTTTCACCCTTCAAGGGAAGGCCACCACCTACTGCCAGTTCTCTCAGGCTTGGAGCTCTGTTTCCATTTCAGAGGCCACCACAGCTCTGGGGAGTAGACAGCACACAACACTAAAGGGAACCAGGTCTCCCTTAATTCCCCACATTTGTCCTAAGCCCAGCTAGTACAATAAAGTCTTTCAGGTCACTGAGAACACAGACATAAAGCCACCTTCCCTCAGGATAGACAGGACTTTGTCCAAAGCCTTGCCGCAGCAGCTGACATTTCAGTTGTTTCTACGCCCATCCCAACTTTCCTCACAAAACTGGCTATGCGATGTCACAGTCATTTGAATATTGTATCTCCATCAGAAGAGGACAAACTTCAGAGAGGGAGAGAGGTCAGCTAAGGCAGCCCCAGTGGAGAAGACAGTACTGTTCCCTTAGCCAGAAAATACCACACAGAAAGAACGAGGGACATAAAACAGTGGCCTGGCCTCAGGCACTGAGCTATTACCCCCGCGGGTGAAAGGACACTGTGGAATCGGGCCTGAGCTGCCCATGTTTTAGTTTCCTCACTGAGGGATGCGATGGTGCAAAGTGTAGGGCTGGGAGGAGCAGTTACTGATATTTTAGATGTTCTTGAAGCTACTGATGAAATCATCTTGCTTCAGTCTAATATTTAAATATCTAGTTCTGATTCTGATGAGATGTCAGACACTCTAACGTCAGCTCTAATGAGAAAGAAAGCACATATTTATGGAAGAGACCGTGCAAAAGAAAATCAAAGCCTGCTTTTATTGAGGTACCAGTAGCCTGACCCACAATTTGGAAGGGATGGTAATGTTAATACAATATTCACCATCAAAACAAATTGAAATCACTTTACGTGACATGATGTCTTAATAAGTTAAGGAAATTAATTTCTCACTAACTGCCGTCTCATTTCATGTTCTTTACAAAGTCTTCTCCTTTCTTGATTGAGGCCTTCAGCTCTGGAATGGCCTCGGCTATCATCTTCTCCTCGAAAGGGGAGATTTTGCCGATGCCTAGATTCTTCTCGATGCCCTTTTTCTAAAAGACAGAGAGGAGGCAGAAAAGTTTTACTACAAAGTCAGTTCCCATGAATGAGTTTTTTATAGAAATACCAACTTGTAAATTCATCAGCTCTGCCTAAACTACCCACAACCGTGGCTCTGGGCAGCTGCTGCAAATACCCAGAGTTCGGGTTCAGTCAGTCCTAGGCTGGGCTCTGTCGCTATGCATGTACTCTGGACAATGGTTTCCACGCCAAGTTTGTTTCCTTATCTATAAAATGAGTGTACCATCTACCTCAAGGGAGGCTGTGAATACACGTGGGAGACTTGACACATCAACTACTCAATAATCAGTAGCACTTAAAGTTATTCTCCCTGACACAGAGATACTTTTTTTGGGTTCTAGTCTCTTTCAAACCAAATTGGCAAAGGACCAAAGAAACATTTTACTATCTACTTGAACCCAATGTAATTAAGTAGGTGAACATCTGATATTAGGAAAACATCTCACTCACTGTCCATCTCCTTGGAAAGCCCTTCCTGGCTCAAACAATCAGCCTCTGTGCTCCTTTTCTACAGGTCTCGCCGCACTCTACACACACCTGTGCTAAATTGGGTATTGAATTAATCTGTTTAGTATCAGTCTCTCCACAGCACAGAGCCCCTGAGGCCTGGGGCCACGTCTTATTGATATTTAAACATTGTGTCGTCTGTGGAAGGGCCTCTAAGTGGCCCAACAAGTCACTAAACTGTTTCTTTCTTGGAATGAGATAAAGGCCACCACACATTTGCCTGATTTCAGCAGTTCCAACCTAAGAAATGGAAACCTTGGCTTGATGGTTTGTGAATGAGACCCAGGAGTTTTGGCTTACTGAAGACTCAAAAGTCAGCTGGATCAAAAAACAGCCTGGCTGACGCCACCAATGCGACCAAATGGGCTTCGTCCTAGACACCCGTTTTAAGGGAACAATCGGTAGCACATTCCAAGAAGGAAAACCAGTGGGGTGAGGAGCAATGAACCCAGAATGCCTGAACTGGGACATGTAACCACTGTGCACCATCTCCAGACTTCCTTGTGGGAAAAATTAGGCTTGGCAGGCCCTGAGGTCAGAACAAGAATCAATAAATAGAAGTTACAGGAAAACGGACTGCAGGCTGGTGTGGGGAAGCCTCTTCTTTGAGAGTTGCCCATGGGCTGCTTTGAGATGGAATGAGGGTCTTATCAGGAAGCAAACCCAGGCAGCCATGATGACCAGAATAGGCAATGAAATCCTGTGCCAGGAGATGCCAACCCCACGGTTTCTCTCTGCTCTTAATTCTGTGATGCACTTCCACCCTCAAAAACCCAAGCGCATGCCAGACAGTGAGATGTAGTGATAGCACAGACAAACTCTGAATTATGAAGCAACTGGACAGGGCTGAGCTCCTGAGTCTCAACTAGAGACTCTCCTTTCACAATCAAGAATCCCAGCCTCCAGGATACATACCCCCAGTAGCAATGGTGTGGAGAAATAGGTACAGTCTGTTTCTTGGGATTTAACAAAGGAACATTCAACAACTCCTTCCTTTCCGTTGATGGCATCCACAAGGGAAAAGACAAACCGGGCTCCAGCATATGCCATGGACAGGGTGGCAGAGCCTAGGGGGACACAGAAAGGTTAGCTAAACTAGCACAGAGACCATAAAATCTAGGTGAGCCTGCCCTGCCAGCTAAATAAAACATCTGTAAAATCTCTAGCTTTAGTTATCAAGAATTTAGGTCAGCAGTCCTCTAATTCACAAACTCATGAATAGCATGAAACAGCTTTGCCAACCTCAAAAACTACTCTACCAAGCAAGATGAGCTGCCCTCTGATACAGGGTTTTCATCAAATAAACATACAGAAAACTTAGAAATAGGTTTGCTCTTTGCAATCCTCAACTGTGAACTCTTTTTTTTTTTTTTTTTTTATCCTCACCCGAGGACATTTTTCCATTCTTTGCTCAGATAGAGTGGGAGGGAGAGAGAGGAACGGAGAGAGAGAGAGAAACATCGATGTGAAAGGAACACATCGAGTGGCTGCCACCCGCACGACCGATCAGGGCCGGGGACAAACTGCAACGGAGGTACGTTCCCTTAGCGGGAACCGAACCCGGGTCTCTCAGGACCGCAGGCCGACGCTCTAACCGCTGAGCCAAACCGGCCAGGGCAACTGTGAACTCTTAACAGTGTGTCTGGCATCAGCAACCCACCCACAAACTGCCTCTGAGAACCAACCTGCTCCAGCTTTAGCCTTGACCACCTCTGTGCCGGCCTCCTGGATCCGTCCAGTGAGGGTTGTCAGCTGGTCCTGGGGAAAGTCCACCTTGGGAGTGCACTGCAAGCCAAAGTCACAGGGATCCTGTGAGCAGGTTCTGGCCCATCACCAATGCCAGATCCCCTCACCCTAGTCACAGAGGGTCCCCCGCATCACCACTACACAGGAAACCAAGAGCCTTTTTTAAAAGAAAAAGTCAACTTTGTTTAGAGGTATAGTGAATTCCCTACTCATTTAAAAAAACTTCATACTTTGGACTAAGTTTAGACTTAAAGAAAAGTTTTAAAAACAGCACAAAGATTTCCTTCATCAGGCTTCCCCTCATTTTAACATCTTACATAACTACAATGCAAATACGAATAGGAGATGAGTATTAGTACATTATTCACTGAACTACAGACCTTATTTAAATTTCACTAATTTCCCCACTACCGCCTTTTCTGCTCCGGGTTCCTAGTCAGGACCTCATTGGCAATAGACTAGGTCCTTTCACCTTTGTCTATACTTCCCTGGTCTTTCGTGACACTTGTCAAGAGTACTGTCACTCATTTTGTAGAATGTCCATCAGTTTAGATCTGTAAGGTGTTTTCTCAGAATTTTGTGTAAGGTTATGCATTTTTGGCAAAAATAGCACAAATATTTTGTGTCCTTCTCAGTGCATTATACTTGGGGTTATGAGGTTGATTTGACATTCTCATGCTTAGTGGTGTTTACCTGGTATAGTCTAGTTTTTACAAAAATCAGCTTTGCCTGCTCTGACCCCATCAGAAATTCATTAATGTCTCTACCAGCAGTTTTCACTGTGTGCTGGAGCTGGCTGCTTTGAGCAACTTCTGACCACACTCACTCCACACAGCTGTGGACCCTTGAATCGCTGGAGGCTGACCACAGTCCCACACCAGTCAAGAAACTCCCAGACAGCTGAAGTAGGGCTGCAACCATAGCACAAATCTTTTCAAAATACAACAGATGGGTAGTTCTTTGAGTGCCTAAATGTGGAACCTCTTAAAGGTGCTCAGGATTTTAAGGGTTCCTGGCAGGTCACACGCACCTGAGAGATCAGGGGAATGATGGTCTTCCCAGCATGGCCGCCAATGACAGGAACATTGACTCGAGCTGGATCCAAACCCTGGTCAACAAAGTGTGAAGCTGATTAATTTTTAACACACTCTTTTGAGTACAAACCATGTCATATCAACCCATAACACCGATATTGGAAAACTCCACACAACTCAGAACAAAACAAGGAAATCAGAAAAGTGACTGACTTCTAGCCTTGCTCAGATCTGCCATGGTCCCACCCCATGGTCTAACATCAGTTTGAACACATGCAGTGAGGATTAACTTGTCTTCTTGTGAAGTCACTATGAGGTCTTTCCTTTATAATGAGTTGAAAATTGCCTCCTTGTAGGTGTCCCATGTTGGTCCCCATCAGTCTACTATCTTCTCAGAATCAAAGAATGTCAGCCCTCTTTCCCACAGCTAATGTTATTTCCATGCACAAGCCCAGACTCGTGTGCCTGCACTTGTCACAGAGAACAAGTCAAGGTCTCTCTCCTTCATTTCAGAGTGAAATTCAAAACAATTCCAGGAAACCCAGGGTTGAGAAGTCTGTAAACTCAAACAGTGATTGGAACAGAAAAAACAAAACTGGGAAGGCTCAGAACATCCTGGGGCTCATTAGTGGGCTTGCTGAGAAAGGCTGGCTCACTTTTTTGTTTTGTTTTTTGGTATGTGCCCCTAGCAGGAACTAAACCCGGGACTCTGGTCCGTAGGCCAACGCTCCAACCGCTGAGCCAAACTGGCCAGGGCATGGCTCACTTGTTAAACTGAGGTACCATGCCCTTGAGAATCTGTGAACCAGGTATTTCTTATGACAGTCAAAAAAAAGAATCTGGTGGAAGTTATGGGACAGAGGTAAACAGAAACCCAGGAAAAGCTTGAACCTTCTCCTTAAAAGCATCAGGGAGAAGAGGAGAGAAAGGGGGAGAAAAGGGGCGGGGAAGGGGGGGAGGAGAAGAGAAGTTGGAGAAGAGGAGGGGGAGATGGGAGAGGGAGAGGGAGAGGAGAATAAGCTTAGTCAAGACTGAAGCTGGCTGGTTTAAACCCACAGGGCCCTGCTGTTTAGACTTCCCATGAAAACCTGAGATCTATTTCCCACCAAGGGGTGAACTATTCAAAACATTTAAAACTCCTAAGTTACAATGACCTGTAAGTGCCCTGGTATCTTCTACTGCCCATAAATGAGCCAAGGATGGCCCGGAGAAGTTCAGAAAAGGGAGCTTGAAAGATACCTGATGTGGTTCTTACCTTCAGTTCTGCAACAAAAGTGTTGGCTCTGACAACGTCCAGGGTTGTCACCCCAAAGATCTTATTGGGGTTGTATACTCCATGCTTCTTGAAAACTTCAGATGTAATTGGGATGGTGGAGTTAACCTAATAAATCCAAGAGATAGGCATAATCTGCCCCGCATTCTGAGAGCACAGCCATGCTTCAAAAGGAAGTGGTCATAGGGGTGGACTTGCTATTCTACCCGAGTGCCTCTTTCTCCCTCCACATAAACCAAGAAACCCTGCACTGCAGCAGGCGCTCTTCCTCTTGGTGGCCTCTGAGCCCAAAGCTCAAATATGCACGAGACCCCTGAACTATCAAGATGAAAATGTGACGATGGCTCCACAGGGCATCTTTGGCTCCAGCCAGAACTCACACCTGAATGGCCAGTCCTAACAAGACAGCACAGCACAGGGCTAAAAACTCCATGTGTAACCCTGGGCAAGCTACTCCAGCTCCCTAGAACTTGGGCTCTTGACCTATAAATGGAGGAGAGAACTACCAGGCTGTTGTGAAGATTAAGTGACTTAATACATAGCACGTGCATAACACTTTACCTGATTCAGAGAAACATATAATAAAACCAAAATAAAACAAGATATGTATTAGGTACTAGCTAGTTAGGGCCTTGACAAAAGCAGCAACTATTTTCTACTTTTGGCCAACTGGCCCTGAGGAAGGGTGAGGCAGGATTCTCTTCTCAGAGGCCACCGGCATAAGCCCCGGGTATTTATCCATGGTCATGTTTTCCAGCCACTCAGATCTTTCTCATACCCAGAGGCCAGGATCCAGAGTCAATCAGAGGAAGGAGTGAAAAGAGCTGATGTTAAATACAACCCAAGGGCCTGCTAGGGCAGGTATGGAAACCACTACTGTCTTCTCAGAGAGGACACAGCATTCAGAGTTTCTAAACTGAAAAATAAGCTCTCTGTAAACACCAGTGAGCAGGATCTGGTGTGGCTGCATGTGAGATAATGTATAAATTTGAGGAGAAAAGGAACGTCGGAGAACCAGCTATCACAAATCCTGGGTAGAATATAGTAAAAGGGGTACATAGGCTACTACATCATGGCTGGAAGAAGCCTAAAGAATGGTCTTATTTTTCAGGTGGAGAAACTAAAGTTCAGATAAGAGAAGTGATTTGCTCAAAGGCATACAGTTAGTTGATGGAAACAACAGATTAAAATTCACTCAGTCCATGCCAGAAAGAATTCTTAGTAAATAAATGTAAGGATCTCTTTTCAGTTCACCCAATTTACTGTTTCAGTATGTTAGTCTGAGTATTCTCCCAATAAGATATTAGCACACTTTTGCTAACTGTGGGCTTTCATACAGTACCAGCAGCCTACCTGATAGCAGTAGTACTCACCGGATTTGAAATAATGCAAATCATGGCCTCAGGGCAATGCTTGGCACAGGCAGCTGTCAGGGTGGCCACAATTGTGGCATTGGTGTTGAACAGGTCATCTCGTGTCATGCCTGAGAATGATCCAATTTAAGATGTTCACAAAGCATAGGACATATTTCTAAATATGTGCCAAGTGCTGAGTTTTAATTATTACAGGAAATTCAAACATAGTGAGACAGGATCCCTGTTTCAAGTTAATCTACCTTGCAGGGAAAACAATCCAGTGTGACAAGTGCCAAAACAGAGGTCTGTGGAAGAGGGGGAGGGGAATCAGGAAGAATTCCTGAGGTGGAGACAGGTGAGGCAGATGAAAAGGCATTCCAGAACAGGGGGAATGAAGAAGACAAGTGGAGGCCTTTATCTTTATCCTACAGGCAATGTAGAGCTTTGGAATTTTTTCTGCAGCAGAGATCGAACTAGATCCATTTTTCATGGAAAACTACTTCCTCATTTGATTTGAGGAGAGATGCTACGGAAGACTTTCAAACACATACCTGGTTTTCTCGGGACTCCAGCTGGAATAACCACCAAATCACAACCTTTCAGGCAGTCTGGCAGCTGCTCAGGTCCGAGGTAGCCTAGATAAAAACCACACGAGAGCAATCTTGTGACCTCAAGGGGCTAGCACATTTGTGGGGACAGAGCCCAGAGGACGGCAACACCTGTGTCCAATGCTGACCGCAGGCTCACCTGTGATGTGATCCCTTTCCTTAAGGACTACCACCCTGACAGTTCTGGCTACTTTCTTCCAGCCTCCACTTGCCCAGGCCAAGATTCAGAATGATCAACCCTCCAGGTTTGCACAAACCAAACCAAATCATCTGCTTATATTTACTCGCCAGCACACATAAGTCCTTCTCAGCTCCCAGTTAGAAGAGTTGCTTATGTTACATCACAATCATCCTAACAAAAGCTCCATCTCAGGATCAGACTAGAAGGCACACGGAAGGCCGTGAAAAACAACAACAAAAAAACACTGTACTGATAAAAAAAAATTACTCTAAGTATTAGTACCTACTTTGTTTATTCCTAGCATCGGAGGAAAATAGGTCTTAGGTCTATTTCCAAGGATTTCAGGAAAATTTGCTCCAATGACCAAAATCTGCTTTGATTTTGAGTTTTTGCTTATTTGAAGATTTCAGAAACTCAAATCTACAACACAAAAGAAAATGAGCCAACAAATTCAGTACTATGGAAGGCTCATAAACATATGACTTGATAGTCAGCCTCCTGCATTGTTTACACCTTTCTGGATAGTAATTTGGTTCTTTAGTACAATTTAAAGTGGTCACACCTACTAGTTTGACTTTTAGGAAACAAGATATAAAGATGGCCCTGGCTGGTTTGGCTCAGCGGTTAGAGCGTCGGCCTGCGGTACAGAGAGACCCGGGTTCGGTTCCCGCTAAGGGCACGTACCTCGGTTGCAGCTTGTCCCCGGCCCTGGTTGGTCGTGCGGGTGGCAGCCACTCGATGTGTCCCTTCACGTCGATGTTTCTCTCTCTCTTTCCCCCTTCCTCTCTCTCCCTCCCACTCTATCTGTACAAAAAATGGAAGAATAGCCTCGGGTGAGGATAAAAAAAAAAAAAAAGATATAAAAATGAAGATACTTATCACAGCTTATATATTTATATTTATAGTAGAGAAAAACAGTAAAGAGCCCAATTATGGAAATAATAATAATAAATAAGTGATAAATTACAGTATAGTTTTAACATGATTTCACCAAGAACTTGGTGACATAAGAAATGATGCTAAGATGTGAGGGTAAAATAAGTAGGACACATAATTATAGGTAATTATGAACTACTTGGATAACATATCTATATCTCCTGAATAGCAACACAGATTTTGCCATGGTTTGGAGAAACTGGCAAAGGTAACCCTGGGTGGAAAGTTGGCCCACGACGTGAAGGGGACCTGCAATGACCAGGAACAGCATTTCTTACTGACCCAAGTTCCCGCAGGAGGTTTCCCCTTCCCCATCCTCAAATTACTTTCCAAGTTAGAAAAAAATTTCAAATGGGAAGATCAGACCACCTTTATTATTCTGAAACACCCTGTTGTTTAAACTTTTATAGACTCAAGTCCAAAAAGTGCGACCATTAGTAAAAATCAATTCTAAACTGATCATGGAAATCCCAAGTCTCTGAACATCTAGTTTCAGCTAAGGATCTTACTCTAAACTTGGATCCTAGTCTACTGAGGAGAAGAGATGTAAATTCTCCAAGGTCAGCATGCTCAGTACCTTTCACAGTTGCTCTGGTCTCAATGTGGCTCAGATCTGCGGCCACTCCAGGTGTATGAGCAATATCATAGAGGGTCAGGCGGCTCACCAAAGGGCTGTTCTTCAGGAGAAGTGAAAGGGGCTGCCCAATTCCTCCGGATGCCCCGAGCACGGCTACTTTAGCATTGTTCTAAAAAGAGGCACAGACAAAGATGGAATCAGCATTAAATGGATTCACATTAAAAGGATACCCACTGCAAAGTACTGCCCTGGCTTCTTTTATTGCACTGGTGCCAAAGGAAGATAAAACTGTATTTCTACCAGTCCAAAGATCTAGTTCCTTTCTGAAATTTAGAGGCTGCCTCAGGAAAATGGGGAAGGACTCATGTCTTTAGAGACTGTGATAGGGTCATATTTCAAACACCCTCTGAAAGATGAACAAGTTTCACTCATTCAGGCAGCTGGACTGGTAACAGCAGCCTTACTTTCAATCTGCAGTTTTAAAAACTATATAAACACACATTTATTGAGCACCTATCAACAGGCTAGGCATCACACATGGGACTGCAGTAATGAAGACCCCTGCCGTCTCTGGAGGGGACAAGTAAGGAGATGTGAGAGGGAGCTGAAGGAAAAGAGACATGTACTGTGTGCAGGAGGGGTGGCAATCAAGTGTCTGGAGAAGAGGGATCAGGGAAGATTCCAGCACAGTATCGGCTGCAGCCTAAGCAGGATTAGGAAGAATGTATGTTTAGAAAGTTCCTTCTCTACCAGGTTAGTCAGATCTGCATGCAGCCTCAGACTCCTTCCCTTGTATCAGTTCCCAAACTTTGGTGTGTATCAGAATCACCTGCTGAGCTAACAAAACAAACAAATAAACAAACAAAAACAACAGAGAGCCAGGATCCTTCAAGTAGGATCTACTAAGTTCCCCAAGTGATTCTGACACCCACCAAAATTTGAGAATCACTATTGCTCCACACCAACCTGAGCAGAACAAGCAGCAGTTGGCCTGGGCATGTCAGCTGATAACAGTTTAAAAAGTGACAGTTCAATGAGGGGTGGGTGGAAGGTCCAAAGAAACTAGACTGCTTCATTAACATCTGAAATGCCAGAACTAGAAGCATTTGAATCACTTTATTGGTCAGCAAACTGGAACTAAAAAGTCATAAAACCTGACTTTCAACAACCACTTCAGAGCTAAGTAGACCTAACTGGTTATCATATAATCCCATTCATTAAAAAAACACAACACACAAAACTAAACAACCCAGCTTCATTGAGATGTTATTTCCCATACCATACAACTCATGAGTTTAAAATGTACAATCCAATGGATTTTAGTATATTCAGAGTTGTACAACTGTTACCCTATAAAAAAACCCTTACTTTCCATTTCCCTTCAACCCCTGGCAATCACCAATGTACTTTTGTCTCTATGGACTTGCCTTTGCCTATTCTGGATATTTCACATAAGATAGCATCATACAACTTGTGGCCTTTTGTGTTGGCTTCTTTTACTGATCATGTTTTCAAAGTTAATTTATGTTATTGTCAGCACCCCATTTCTTTTTATGGCTGAATAATATTCATCATATGGATAGATTTATTCTAAGTCTTGTCCTAGAGCTCACTCCCACTACAGAAAAGGCATTCTTCTCAGGTCTCAGTTAAGGTCTAACCAAAATTCCAGCCAATCTGTGATGGAGTTTCTAATCTAAACTCACAAATGAGAAGGGAGCCTATTCCTGGCCAGCTGGCTGGCAGGCAGGCAGGCAGCTGCCAGGAAGTTAGTAGACAAACAAAAAAGACAGTGGATTCGAGAACTCAAAGCAGCTGTCTACTCTGATCCTTACACTATTGCTGCATATTGTTTTCTATAGCAACTGAAACTGGTAATAATGTGCTTCTGTTATCAAAAACAAAATTAAAACCAAACAAATCCAAACCAAAATAACCCCACACAGTGCAATTTGCTTAAGGATCGAAAACTCTAAAAGCATATATCACAACTAAAATTTGAGTGGAAAAAAAAATCCTCACCAAAGGATATGTTTTTCATTGATTCTAGAGAGAGGGGAAGGGGGAGGGGGTACAGAGAGTGAAATATGGATCAGTTGCCTCCCATACCAGGTATTGAACCAGCAACCTTTTGGTGCATGGGATGACACTCTAACCACTGAGCAACACCAGCCAGCGCTTGAACTGTTTTAAGTTGATGTTTTAAAGGTGAACTCTTGCCTTAGCTGGTTTGGCTCAGCAGTTAGAGCATCGGCCCGCAGCCCAGAGAGACCCGGGTTCAGTTCCCACTCAGGGCGTGTACCTCGGTTGCAGTATGTCCCTGGCCCCAGTTGGGATCGCGTGGGTAGCAGCAGTTGATGTGTCTTACATAGATGTTTCTCTCTCTCTCCCTTCTGCTCTATCTGAAGAAAAATGTCCTCGGGTGAGGATAAAAAAAAAAGGTGAACTCTTCACAGAAAGCCAATCAGACCAACTCAGAACCTAAGGTCTGGCAATCATATCCACTTCCAGATCTTCAATTTTCACTCCCACATCTTTTCCCTAAACCTAGGGACTCCCAAATTCCAACTACACATTCCCAGTTGTGTTAGGCATTCCACTGGTCCTACAAACCCAACTGTCTAGATAAATTTATCCTCTCTACCTCTCCCATCCCAAATGGTACCTGTGTCCTCCCAAATTCAAACCTTTGGAACCAACTTCTGCCTCTTCCCTTATTAGAGACACCCAGTTAGGACATGGACTCTAAACATCTTCCCATTATCTAACTTAGGTCCTCAGCGCTACCTCCAAACTATCCTTCAAAAAATTCAGTTTTAATCATTTCCTTGTTCAAAAACCTTCTGAAGTTCCTCATGCCCAAATTACTTAGCCTGGCTTCCAAGGCTGATCAGGGCAGTGGTCCCAACATGGGGAGCACAAGACAATTTCACTGGGGTGCAGGATAAAAATGCTTAAGTTTGTGTTTTTATTTTTATACAATAAAGAATTAAACTTCAGCAGGAAAGAGACTGATCAGATGCCCTCACTGGGGTCCTTAAGTCCATCAGTCCTATACAATACACAAGATGAACACAACATAGGAGGGAAGAGGGGGTGACCTCCTCATTCATTCTTTCTGTTGCTTTCAATGTGCTAAGGTGGTTATTGTTTGTATATTACAAAATTTCATCAACTTTGTCAATATTTATAAAAACACAACTTAAGTGGTGGAAGCTTTACAGTGAAGTGAGACTCTCTGGTACAGCAGAGGTTAGCTCATAATCTCTTTGGGAAAGAGCTGTCTCCAAACTCGCTGACCTTTTCCAGGTTGAGGAGTGGTTGTCAACAGTACACCTGCTTAGCAACTGTTTTGAAAATGGACCTAAGAGCAACACTTTCTTCAGTTACTCGTTTGCTTTTTAAAGTCTGTTACAGTTTCTTTTAAAATTTCTATATTTTTGTTTGTGTTGTAACATATGTACTAGCACATATCTGCAGAAATAAATATATTGAGGTTGCTGTGCTCAACACATTTTTACTGTAAAGGATACAGGATCCAAAGTCTCTAGACCAATGTAAAATTTGGCTCAAGCTCATCTTTCTGACATACTGCCTTCTCAACATCTCTACTTGTACGTGTAAAAATATTTTAAACTCAACATATCTAAAACTGAGCTCCTGATATCTTCTGCCTGCCCCAAACTGCTCTCTTCCCAGCAGTCTTTTCCCATCTCAGCAAACTGCAAAACCATGGTGTCCTCCATGTTCCTTTCTCTCAGTACCTCTCACGCAATCATCTGTCAGTAAATCCCACTGTCTTACCTTTGGTCAGTTCCCCTCTCTCACTCCTCAGCATCAATCGTCATCACCTTCACTTGCCTTAAGTTGACTCATTTTTGGGTGATCTCAGGTGTTACTTCTCACCTATCTTGGTATCCCCTGCAACACTCACCCCAGTTCTTGGTAAGCAGGAGTACTCAATATACTTATTTTCCAAATGAATTAAATGCACAGAAAAGTGATCTGAAGGACAGAAACTAAATAATGTGGAATCTCCTTCAACAATCACCTCCCTTTTGGTTGTGGCAATGTGGGCATCTCCTGAGTTCTGATTTTGGTTGTATTTATAATCACCTGGGGCACTTGGTAAAAATATAGAGGCCCAGGTCCTACCCTCTTTCAATGAATCTGGGCCTCTGTTCTGGTGATTCTGCCACACACCAGAGTTTGAGAACCAATATCCTAGAAAAAATAGCTAAAAATAGCTTAGGCTTTAGTAGTCACGGGCCAAGTACTGATGTTACAACACCTGGGGGCAGGCCCAGTCCAATACAGCATAAGAACCTTTGTCCTTAAGAGGAAGCAGTCTTCAGGTTCTTGAAGACTTGATTATCCAAAAGCCATTGATAGTGGTCAGGAGATCTGAATTTTAATCCTCTGGCCAAATGACTGTGTAACTTAGAGCCAGTTCTCTACCCTCGGTACCACGCCTGTCTGTACTATGGAGTTAATAATTACACATTATTTGTACGGATGCTGCAACAAGGTTATTCACTCAAAGATGCATAAAAACATAAATTACTTTCGGCCCTAAAGCCCTGGTTTCTCAGCCTTGTAGGAGTGCAGTCCAAGAGCAGGCCCTGTGGGGGACCCAAGGGATGAGCTGGGGGACTTGCAGAAGTGCACCGGATCTCCCCCTCTCTCTCCCGCACTTCCCGCCGGGTATCAGGGCCGGCCTAGGGTGCCACAGCCGCCAGCCAGTACCCGGTGGCACTACGGTGCAGGCTGGCCCCCGAATCCGAGCTGCTCACTAGCCAGGAACGCACGTGACCCACGCCGGGGGCTTCCGCCTGCAGCCAGCCCCTCGTCGGGCCTACCTGGGCCGAGGTGCTGAAGCTGCGGCGGAGAGCGGCGCCTGCAGGACGAGCGAGGGCGGAGAGCATGGCTGAGGCGGGCGGGGTGCGGACCAGCAAGCGAAGGAGCTGGCGGCGGATAAGTGACTCCAACGACCTCCACACTGTTCAGAGCCTAACTTAGCTCCGCTTGGCCTCGCGAGAGGTGCCGCTTCCGGTCCCGTCCCACATCCCAGATCTCGCGGTATCACGGCCACCTCCGGCTGTTGCGGAGGAAGGCGGAGAGATGCTCTTGGCCCAGTAGGAGTGCAGTCCGAGGCTGGGTCCTAGAGCGCGTCGAATTCTGTGCAGCGGGTCGGCGAGCCGCTGTCGGAGTCGGGGGCAGAAACTCTCACTCCCAAGAAGTGGAAGAAAACGGGGTTTAGGCTGGAAGAGGCTTAGAGGAGTCATTTTCCAGGTGGGGCTCCAGACATAGGCTCTGACTGGGAGACCGGCCAAGATTGCGCCTCAGGCCCGGCGAACTGGGTGCTGGCCGAGCCCCCAACCGAAGCCAAACCCACTCCTTCTCCCCCTGGAAGTAGAAGGGGGCTCCAAGCTCTGGAAAGCCCAGGAAAGGAAAGAAGGGAGAGGAGGGGAGGTTGAGAGCCCCAGGGATGGGATGGGAGGATGGATGCACCTCTAATCTGTCACTCCCATACACCCCCAGCTCACACACGTACCGCCCACCCGCCGTCCCTCCAGTTGCCTCCATTGAGACCCCACACTGAGAATGGCTGACTGTGAGCACTGACTTAGCACTAGGCATTGTTCAACAAGCTTCACAGGACAACAGCCTTGTGTTACAGAGGATGAAACAGGTATCTGGGTAACTTATTTGTTGACCCAGTCCCTACCCTCAGGTCTGTCCAGCAATGCTGGGAACACGGCTGTATTGTTTCTGCTGTAGGGGTAAAGAAACTGGCTGCAGTTAAAGGGTTTTATTCAGAGATTACTTAGACAGAAAGTAACGATGTGGTTCCTGCTTAAAGGAGTTGATCATTTAAATTTATAAATTACATTTAAGCCTCACCCTCCTCCCCCAAATATTTTTGGGGCATACAGAGAATCCTTGCCATCAAAAAGTTCAGTCAAGTGGAACAGATAAATGTGCTGGAGGTTGTTGCCTTGAGAGAGGAATGCACAATCCCAGTGTGGGGTGGGGATCTATGACTAAGCCTGCTTGGTAACAGTGGTTAGTAAGGAAAGCAAGGGTGAAAAGAACAGTTGGCATGACTGCTAAAGACAAAGGAGTGCTGGCTTACTACTTCCTCCCTCCCTTCTACTTGTTTATTGAACTACCAAGATGTGCCAGCTCAATGTTGGAGCTGGGTGTTCAACTGTGAACAAGATTCACACATTTTCTGCCTTCAAGACACTCAGCATCTAGTGCAAAAAGGTAAATTGCAAGCAGCGTGATGTGGGCAACACTAGGAGAATTATGAGGTTCTATGAGGACACAGAGGAGGTGTATCTAATCCAGATTTAGGGTATGGGTGGGGGCCATGTGAGAAAGGACCTCTGGAGGATGAAACATCTAAGCTGAGAGACATACAGGAAGAGTAGAGGCTATTACGTGAGCCCATTCAGCTCCAGAGGAGAGAGAGATCCTTGCCTGGGCAATGGAATTCTCAAAGGAGGGGATGCTAGGAGCTGGGCCTTTTACAATGGAAAATGTTTTTTGTTGTTGTTAATCTTCACCTGATGATATTTTCCCATTGATTTTTAGATAGAATGGAAGGGAGGGAGGAAGGGAGAGAGAGAGAGAGAAACATCAATGTGAGAGAGACATATTGATTGGTTGCCTCCCGCACAACCCCTCTGGGTTGGGGATTGAACCTGCAACCCAGATACGTGCCCTTGACTGGGAATGGAACCCTCCACCCTTTGGTCCGAAGGCTAACTGCTGAGCCCAACCGGTCAGGGCTACAATGGAAAGTATTTAAAGGAGAAAAGAACCCAAAGAAAAAAACCCTGATGGTAAGAAAGTCTAGGCCTATATTCAGGGGACAGTGAACAGATCATTTCTGCTGGAATGGGGGCATGAAAATGAGCAGTGTCCTTTATCTTGCCACTGATCATGTTCTCTGATTAATTATTTACCCCCTCTATCTTACAACTAGAACTTTGAGCACCTTGGGATCAGGTATGTCATCTCTGTGTCTTTACTGTTCAACACTGGCCAGGCTGAGAGTGATGCTTTGAATTTGAGGAGTTGAATGGTTTTAGATAAAGCTGGAAGAAGCAGGTTGGGAAAACCAGATTGTGTAGGACCTATGAACATTAGCTGAGAAGTTTGTCTTTAATTCCTTGGGAAGCAAGTGTTTATCAAAGGCTTTTATGCTACCACCACAGTTGTGAAGGTTAGACTGACCTGGGCATGCATGCTAAGGATTCCAAGGGAAAAATGTAGGGGCAAGGGAATTGTGTAGGAGGTTATCTTTTGAGATGGTAAAGATCTGAGTGATGATGGTGTTCATAGAAATGGAAAGTGTGGGGTCAAAGAGGGAATAGTTTTAAGGGTTTAAGAAATGAATAAAAAGGATGTGGAAAGTCAGCCTGAGAGAATGATATATGTATAAAAATGGAATTCAGGGGTTGTGTGGAAGGAGAGCTAGCTGGAGAAAAAATAAAGAGCTCCATTTCAGATGGGCTGAATTGGAAGTGATGGTGAGTTGTCCATATAGAAATATCAGTGGACAAATGGGGAGTTACTTCCAAGAAGAAATGTGGGATTGAAACTCAGTAGAGAGGCCAGGCTGAAGTCAATCCTAGAGAAGGGAAAGTTGAGGCCATGAGAGAGAAGCTAGGATCACAGATTCCCAGGCTCTCTCCTACAAATGGGGCTCGATTTGCTCCCCCTCCCTGCCAAGTTAACCCTGTCAGCATCTCCACAACTCACTACCTCCCAAGTCCTTTACTGGGGCAACCCCAAACAACTTGACAGCAAAATTGCCCTTACAATCAGATCCTATCTACTTTCCTTTAAATCCCAAGATTGTTCCTAACAGTCTTTACAGCTGCTGTAGCAAGCTTTGACTCTGTGCCAGGTGCTGTGTTCAGCATTGCATGTGTAAGTATTACACTGAATGTGCAGGGCTGTATTCAAGAAGCCCAGTGCAGTCATAAAACAGCTTTACGTCTTCATTCCCACTCTTTCTTGAAATCTTTGGTTGCCCTTGGATGAAATCAAGTCATCAGGACAGACTTATTGCAATAGCCTAAATGTCCAGTTCACATTAATAGTCAAAACTCTGAACTTAATTAAAGTTAAAGCGACTCTCCTCTAGCTTTAGTTAGGTTCCTACCTTTGGAGAGGATGGTGGTTGACTTGTATTTCTCCATCTTGCTTACTCATCTTCCCTCCACCCCCATACCATGCAGATTGAGGCTTCAGACTCATCAGTGTTTGTGGAGACGCTTGTAGGAGTAGAGATAGGGGCAGGATAGGTCCCTTTGTCATCTGGCATTAGTATTCTCTGAGCTTGATTAGAGTTTATCTGACTCTTTCCTCCATGCAGTGCTTTTGTGGGTCTCTCTTACCTTGTAGTTCCCTTGACCTAGGGGTTACAATTATCTTGCTGCTTTCAGTTCTCCCTCAGTCCCTGGTTTCTGGAATCCTCCACTACCTGCAGTTGGTCCCTTGTCCCTCCCAGTGACCCCTCTTGGGCAAAGTTCATTTAAGATGGCTTCTAGTTGGCCCTCTCTTCTGCCTGGCCCCCATCTGGTCTGTAGGAAACACTAATGCATCTTTTGCCTCAAGTTCTGGGAGTGCAGACCATTTCAAATGCAGCTGCCTCTCCTTGCTTTGTTAACAGCCTCAGACTTTTCCAGGTGGGTGCCCAGCACCAGCCTCTGTGCCTGGACAAGCTTCAGAGGGCACAGGCCAAGCTATTCTAGGGGTTTTCTTTCTGGTTTCATGAATTGTTTCAAGAAAGCTGAGACTTGTAAATGTTTGAAAAAAGAAAGAAGGATGCTAATGGAGGAGGAGAGCTTTGAGATGCTAAGGGGAGAGGGGGAGAGGGAAGGATTAGGTTGGAGTGGATGAGGTCAGAGGATGCTTATCCCTCTGACTGGGAGAAAGCTGGAAGGGCAGCCAGGAGGCAGTTGGTGGGGAGGGCCCTTCATACTCAGTGACCTTAACCTTCCTAGATAGGAACTAGAAACTTATAGAGAAGTTGTTCCTTGGGGACCCAAGGAGGGTGAGGAGGTTTGGGTAAGAGTTGTAGGCCTTGGCGCCCTGGCCGGTTTGGCTCAGCAGTTAGAGCGCCGGCCTGCGGTCCGGAGAGACCCAGGTTCGGTTCCCGCTAAGGGCATGTACCTCGGTTGCAGTTTGTCCCCGGCCCTGGTTGGTCGTGCGGGTGGCAGCCACTCGATGTGTCCCTTTCACATCGATGTTTCCCTCTCTCTCTCTTCCTCTCTCTCCCTCCTACTGTCTGTACAAAAAATGGAAAAATGTCCTCGGATGAGGATTAAAAAAAAAGAGTTGTAGGCCTTGGGGAAATGTTGGGCAAATGGGGGATGATGAGAAAAGGATTAGCAGGTGGCTTTTGGGGCCAGGCTGAAGTTTTGTATTGTGTGCTTTTCTGTGTGCCCAAGTCCTCTTCATTTCCTATGGCCAGATCCCACACCAAGATCATGGACATACAGGTGGTGCTACACACACAGACTCACATCCATATACTGTCTTTGAACACATAAACACATGAATCTACACAAGGGATTTAATTCATTAATTTATTTTTTAATCCTCACCTGAGGATATTTTCCCATTTATCTTCAGATAGAGCAGGAGGGAGGAAGAGAGGAAGAGAGAGAGAGAAGCATCAATGTGAGAGAGACGCATCGATTGTTGCTACCTGCACGACCCCAACTGGGGCTCTGGAGAAACTTCAACTGAGGTACATGCCCTTGGATGGAATCGAAGCTGGGACTCTTTGGTTTGCGGGCCAATGCTCTAACTGCTGAGCCAAACCAGCCAGGGCATAGGGGATTTATTTTTATTTTTTATTGCCATATAGTATATATACAATACAGTATACCAATCTTAAGTGGTTGGTTGGTTTTGATGATTTATACTCTTGTAACATCCACTCCAAACAAACTGTAGAACATTTTCATTCCAGAAAGTTTTCTTATAATTCATCAG